GGTAAACACATCGGAAGACTAATCATTAAATTCAGAGACGAAGAGACCGTCAGAACACCTCTTCTGGCAATGAATGGGACGATGAAAATGAGGACAACTGTTAAGACTTTCTTCGATCCAAACAAAGTCTATTTAATGACCGGAGGTTTGGGAGGCTTTGGACTCGAGCTCATCCAATGGATGCACTACAGAGGGGGTCGAAAATTTATGGTCACTTCCAGGTCTGGGATTAGGACTGATTACCAGAAGTTTATAATCAATCGTTTGAAAAATGTTTACAAAAGTAATAAAAATCTTTCTCTCGATTTGTTGGTCTCGACGGCCAATGGAATGACTATTGAAGGCACACAACGACTGCTAAATGAGGCCAAAGAGTTGGGACCCATTGGAGGGGTATTTCATTTGGCACTCGCTTTGAATAATGAATTACTTGAAAGACAAACATTTGATGACTTTTGTTCAACGGTTGACATAAAACACAAGATATTCGCTCATTTGGATCAACTGAGCCGACAGTTGGCCTACAAATTGGATTATTTTGTGGTCTTCTCGTCGGTGTCATGTGGTAAAGGAAATGGAGGTCAGAGTAACTATGGGTTTGGGAACTCTATGTGCGAAAGGATTTGCGAAGAGAGACGTAGGGATGGTCTGCACGGACTGGCCGTACAGTACGGACCCATTGGAGACGTAGGAGTGATCGCTGGTGTGGATCAGGGCTTAGGGTTTACATCAATGAGGAAACAACGGATTCACTCGTGTTGTGATGTTTTGGACAAATTGCTGGCAATTAATACACCGATTGTTACCTCTTATGTATGTTTTAGTATTATTTCATAATAAGTCAAAACACAAAATACTTTTTAAATATATTTGCAGATTCGGGTGAATAAGCAAACAAAAGAGGGAACTCCTCAACAAAACTTCATTCAAAGTATTTGGAAAGATATGAATATCGACCCAAATGTCACCCCAAATGACACCACTTTGGCGGACATAGGGATGGAGTCTATGTTTGCGGTGGAAATGCAACAGAAGTTGGAAAAGGACTACAAAATGAGTTTAACTTTAAATCACATCAAAAGCTTAACCGTTGGTATACTAAAGGAGAGCGAAAATGCCAAAACTGACCTTGTTAAGCCTTACCTCAATTCCCTGAGACAGTCCACGGATTTCTTATTGAAATATAACTTTAATATCTCTAATGAGAAGACAATTGCATTAAACAAATGCCAAACCGGGAAACGATTGTATATTTTGCCGCCATTTGAGCTCAACTTTACGGCTTGGGAGGAGTGGGCGCTTCAGACCAACCGACCCGTCATTGGACTCAATTGGACGCCTGAAGTGAGTCGACTGTCCACTCAGGAAGAGATCACCAAATATTATGTCAATCTATTGAAACATTTGGAGCCAATGGATGGTAAATACGAAGTGATCGGCCATTTGGATGGCGCCGTCATTTGCACCCAATTAGTGGCCAAAGGGATGGCCGACAAAGCGGTGGCTATCGATGCCATCAATTATAAGCACTTTTATGTCGACAACAAATTAAATGACGATTTTATGCTAAAATTCGTGATTAAATCGCTGTTAAAACAAATCCCCGATTCATACGTCAATAAAGTAATGAAAGGTTTGAGAGATATGTCAGACATTAAGACAAAGATTGCGATTATTGGCAAAGAATTGGTTGGTTTGGGCGGAAGAGGACTCGTGGCCACAGATTTGACAAACATTTTGAAGATAATGTTTGCGAGAATTGAATGCCTTTTGGAGTATAGACTCAATACAAAGGCTATGAATACAAACAAATGGTCGCAAAACAGCACTAAATTAGTTGTCATTAAACCCATTGAACACAATCTGACTAATGATACAGAGGCTGAACACCAGGATCAATTGAATGACAATTATTTCTTATCAGAGCTAATGGTAAGTTAGTTTATATTAATTACTAGTAAATTAAAATGAATAAACCTTTGTAAATGAACCAGGGTGATGTGACTAATAATGCAAACCTAAGAGTGCAGCGAATTATATGTGAGAATCCAATGGATGTGACGAATGGAGCGATTGCTGAGAAAATCACAGAATTACTGATTCATTGAATAATATTATAACTTATTATACATACAGTATGTATCTTATAATAAAATAATTGTTCCCAATTTATGTATTGGTTATTATTTCTAAAATTAAACTTGATTATCGCGGTAAATTACGAAAGAATATTTTTTTATTTATCTCTAAACCTCTTTAACGGGTATACAATAATAAGTAAACTTATCAACACTGCCTTATATACAGTAAAGATGTAAAAGTCCCTTAAATTTTTTAAATTCCTTAATTTCCAAACTTTTACCTCCAAATAATGTCCGAATTTATAAAATTTAAAAAATTAGCTTTAATGGGAAATATATTTTATGTTTATTTTATTAGAAAATCAATATGAAGTGTCAATCATATACAAAAATATATTGATTTAAAAATATATAATATGGATATGAATAAAGTGAGTCCTGATACTCATAGGTTCCGGAAAACGATTGGAGGTTTATAAGTTATAAATGATAACACTGAAATAACCTAGTTCTTAATATAATTAAATTTCCAAAGTTTTAGAAAGAGCATCTAAATGATATGAATGGTATTTATAAAAATAGATATAAACATACAAACTCAAACATTATTACCTATTAAATGATAAACATACTACGGTATTAACTTAGAATACAGTAGACTTAATTTTAAAATTAATTGTGTTTAAAAAATATTAAAATGTAGGGTATTTGTAAATAATTATTTAATCTTATCCAACGCTAAGAAGGCCTGCGTCAAGAGCACCAGGATGGTCCGGGGCATCTCCGGGGGCTTTCCGGGGGGCATCTCGTACTGCGACCAATCGCAATAAGGGGCCGGCGCTGAGACAGATATATTATACGTTTGTAATAATTAAATAAAATAATTATGTTAATTATTATTTGAATTGTAACGGTTTAAATATTACGAGTACAGTATATCTTGTTTAAGGTTTATTCAAATAATTTTAGAAACATAATTAATAGCGTTTTGAATATGAGTTTTATTTTAATTAATTATCAAATCATTTGCAACTTATTGAACATAAGGTTTACAAAAAACGTATACAAACTTTGAATTGAATTTTTTTTGTGAATGAATTGAGAAAATGATTGAATCTATTGATAGTGGAAGTGGTGTTAAGACCGAGAGGTCTGTGGCGATGGTATGGACGGACATATCGTTTACAATTAAGTCCACATTTGGTAGGAATGAGACAAAAGTGTTGAACTCATTGTCCGGTTGCGCAGAGTTTGGGTCATTGATGGCAGTGATGGGTCCGTCCGGTGCGGGACTCACATCAGTCTTGAAGTGTTTCAATGGACACAACAATTGGGGGTTAAGTGCGGACTCGAGGGTCCGGTTGTCGAGTATCACCAAAGTTAGGACCGCTTTTGTCGGACACAACGAAAAGGAGTTTTTGATTATGGGTTTGACTGCAAAACAAAATATGATTTACGCCTCAAAACTCAAGAACTCGAGGGAAAGGGAGGAAATGGATCACGAGATGAATGTGCG